TTTGTAGACAAATTAAGTGAAATTGTATAATTTCCCGCAACCCTCTTGACAGTCTCTCACGCTACACTCGTTGGGAATCGCCGATCGCGTAAAGAAGGCCAATTGGATCATGAAGGTCAGTTAGGTACGATTGGGTTTTCCTTTTTATTTTTATTATTCTAATTTTTTTAACCAGTGTTTTTATCTGCCACACTGCCAACTTAATAAACCGCAGACTGAGCCAGTGTGCTTGCTCGGCGTGAACAGCTATTGTTTCAGGGAGGTGATGTCTTTGGTACTTGCCCAATGACTTTAATGTGCGTCTAGAAACCTTCCAGGTATCCAAAGGTTGACAAGATCAGCAAGATGGTCTGGTATGACTCTTGTCAATGGGCCAAAAGTAACATTGAGTGAATATAGAACGTATATTGCACACACCCATGTTCAATTGCTAGAGTTTTGTGTCCTAAAAAATAAAAAAAATATACCAAGATAAACATTACAAAACCTTTTCCACCATTGCAAAACTATTAAAAACAAATCTTTGAGGGTAGCAACAACTGAGGTAATGCGGTTTTACAAGTGTGCACACCCTCTTGTAACTAGGGATGTGGCTTTGTTCAGCATTACCAGACATAGAAAAGAAAATGATTTTTGTCACATGTACTCACTAGCTAGCACTTGCCAGAAATTCCTGAACCTGCAATGTTGCTGTTGACTGGCAGCCCCCCTAACCAATGAAATGTGCTGCGTGTGAGACCACTGGGAAGTTGAAAATAATGAACATGGAGACTTGAAAGTCCAAACCTAATATGAAATATAATGAACATGGAGACTTGAAAGTCCAAACCTAATTTTTAGGGCAACCTTGATCTTTTTTTAGGGCGGCGTATAAGAATATGAATGAACAGAAAGTAAACTACAGTCTGTATGTATGGAACATAAACTACCACACACGTAAATATTCTGCTCCACCACCGGTCAAGAATCCGATCCTCCAAGGCAAAGAGTTTATGCCTGATTACAGGGCATCTCACAAACGCAAAAACTGGCAAACACTTCCGTCTGAGCATGTGCCGATGGTTTCTGAAGTTGACCGGTGGTGGCAGAAAGCGATGTTGGCAAGAAAGGACTTGCTGAAGAAAATACTTGCTGTCGTTTGGGGAATCCACTTTTACAATAAAACACGACACATGGTTGGACAGATCTTTTTTTGGGCCTGAAAATGTCTGTTTTATATGCCAAAAATATTTCACGGATGATATGCGCACACTGAATGACAGCTGTTCCAATTGACCGGAATTTTTTGACTACACATTGGCTGTGTCTTGGTAACTTGACTCATGGGATACCTGTGGGTCAGCAAACCGTATGTGAACAGAAGATAAGTAAACAATTCACACCGTAGGTGGAACTTCAAAGACCACAAAGTTTAAAGTCCAAAACCGGGAAATTGATAACTACAGGGGACCATAACATAATTGTATTTGCTAACAGACCCACAGACGTGCAGTACCCTAGCTTCCTAGCCTCCATGAAATGGATGGATAAACCAATGAGATGACTCTTATTTATTGATATTTTACTTCTTACTGTTAGCAGATGTGCTGAAATACCATCCTAGTTGTTAATGTACATTTTCTGTTTCTAATTGGCTGTAATGGTCTGACAGTTTGGGGTTATAGTTGTTGGTGATAGTTTTGGACAGTTTTTTTTCTAGCCCCACACTGGATTGATGGAGAATGCCTTCCTTCCATAGGTGCTGTCAGTCTCCATATTGTAAACCCATAAACGAATTTCCTTTTTGACAACACGAGATAGACGCAATAGCCAACAGTTGGGGACGAAGCCACAGCATTTCTAATCAGCTTAATGCTGGCTTACTCAAAGGCCCTCTTTCAGGCGATGCAGCTGCAGAGTGGAGGGTGTGACTGACTACTGGCAGAGCCCGCCGATGCAGCGAGACCGGTTGGTGATTAACAAATGTCTCTAGACTTTGGAATCTGGGGAGCCCAGTCTGATGGCTTTGTCCTGCGCTGCTTTCCACCAAAAGCTCTTCCAGGTTGCTCTGTCACGCTCCATGCTCCTCCTCCCACCCTTCCCCTTGAGGCCTGCTATATCCCCCTTCTGCCCCTTCTCTTGCTCGACTGAGGTCCTGCAGAACTCCCAGATAAAGAAGTTCAAACATGCCTTGAATTTTTCGACCCCCTTGTGGAATGTCGTTGGCGGCTTCCACCAAACAAGTGGAAGCAGAGGAGAGGCTGTACATTCTGTCTTTTTTCCACAAAGGGTGGCTGCAACCCTCCTCAGAGCGCACACCCTGGCATTTCTCCGAAAATCTCCTGATGTGACAGATAATGTCCTGAGAAACGAGAGGCGGAGTCGGGCTAGTGAGAGCGTGAGATGCTTTCTGCTGAGCTTGTGTTGTTCATCTGGCAGATAGATTTCTGTCAGCACTTCTTCCGTGACAGGCCGCCCAACCTTTTTTTTTTTTTTTTTTTCATTGAGGAAGAGGATCAGGTCCACGGGTCCATGTTGTGCTGCTGGCTGAACACCTAAGTGCACAGAGTCGGCTTTTAAAATGGCTGCCCTTGAAGCTCAGCTCAGAGGAGAGAATCTGAGCGGCTAGCTCAGTAACCGCCTGTCAGAGCTCAAGCTGACTAGATGAAAGCAGATGTACTATCGCTCCCATTAACTTGGTGTGGCATTGCATAGGCTCGGCCAACTCCCAGCAGATGCTGTCTCCCCCCCCCGCTCTTGATACCATGTCATGAATTACAGGACCGGCATTTGGAGGCCACTTGGTGGAAAACAGTGTTGAAATGCCAAGAGAGCAGGGCGCGGCTGTAACATGAATCTGTAACAATGGATCCTTTTGCTTGCTCAAGGCCATTGTGGCTCATGTGGAGCTTCTCCCAGGTCGACCAGTCACACTTGGAAAGCTGGTTGGATTCTGGATTTTGTAGTATTCAGGTTTGCGAGCTGATTGCTTTAGTACGCGGGCTTATGTTCTAGCTCATGGGCTGCCATTCACATCAAAGTTGGAATTGGAAAAGGTGTATTGATATCAAGAATGAGACAATCTTTTAAAAGTAGAGAAACACTGCCTCATTTTTTGTGGTTTTCACGGGGTGGGAAAATGTTTGTAAAATGAAATGAAATAAATGTCCTGAGCTCCTGGTTTTGATGACTGTGTGGCAGCCTTGAATCCAAACAAGAAGTACATTCCGTTACATTACGATTCATAGCCGAACATCAGTTAAACCCCACGTTTACATTAACTACTCACACCCGCCCCCACATACAAGTTTATACGATCTATATTATGCATTCTAGGAGAAATTGACCATTGAACATGATTAAACGCTCCATAAAATCTCTTAAATACGGACACGAATGAACGAAGCTAGCTAAACATAATGTTTTACGGCACTCTTATGAAGAATCCATCTTTTTTCCCCGCTAGCTGTCCATCAAAACAGAATAAAAATGCAGAGAAAATTGAGACATTCTGCCTTCAGCTGTCATTATACAATCGGAACATTGTATCGCTAATTCTGTAGCGAAACAACCAATGAGAACAGATCAGCCCTGTTCGTAGCAAGTCATCTGCATTGATCGCAACAACTGTCCTTCAAACGTGTACTACATTGTAGCCCACACCTCCCACATTCACTTTCTTTCCAGGAAAAGCAACGGCTAGTTTAGACATGCTGATTGCCTTTACTTCGTTGTAACAAACCAAGTTCTGATAACTTTGTTGAATAAACTTCACATTTTGAGCACCTGAACACCACAAATGTACAGTATGTTTTCATTTTCTGATTTCTATATGCATGCAAGTTAAAATCGAAAAAAAATATTCTGTGTGTGAAACAGTCAGAGTTGGGGGGGTTTATTTGTTATTTTCTAATAACTAGCAACATATTGCCTCATAAACCTGCAATAATAATGGGATCTCTAGTAACATTGCTGTGAAGTGACGCTCGACGACGACAATGTTCCAAACGACAGACAAGGCTGAAGGAGATATCAGAGCCGCCATCCCTCACTCTTACTTGAATACAGTTGATACAATTTGATGGAACATTCTGCTCGAAATGCTGTTGTGTAGAGCTGCTGTCTAGCGGTTGCTTATCCCAAGGTAATAAAAAAAGGGATGAATCAGGCCATAATCCCTCTTCGGTCCCTCCGTTGTGCCTGGCATGCTGCTATGCTCAAAAAATGGGACCTCGCGACTACTATTGCGACCAACATCATCTGTGTGGTTTGGTCATTCGCGGTTTACAAATTTAATTCAGAGCTCTCTTCAAGTGTCTGCTGCTAGCCTAATAGCCAACCTCCAGCCATGGACTTTATTTGATACTTATTGAGGTCTGTGGGGCAGTGAGCCTCCCTAGTGGAACGAGTCATTTTGCACTTTTATTGTGGTTGTGGTGGTGGTCATTGTTGCCATACTGTTTTTTCTACCTAGGTGTAAAACAACAGTTAAAGGCGAAGAAATAGTAAAAATATAATAATATTTACGGTATGTTCTATCCGAAACACTAGTATGAAATCCATCCATTTTTAATCCACCTTAAAGGGTGGCCAATTTGCCAATTGCTGTTGACTGAAGAGGACATCATTGTGCCTAAGGGCTCAACTTGCAAACGTCACATGATCAAACTCAGAAAACAGGTGAGCCTTAATGGTCGTTACTTCAGCCCTTAGGCACTGTGATGACATTTTCAGTCGACGGCAGGTGGCAAAATGGCCGCCCCCCTGAGATGGAAAAAAACAGGTAGCTTTTTCTCCTTAATTCTAATTCCACGAACGCAATATTAATCAGAATGTCGCGTTTAGACTACTGGGGCGCATAAAACATTGTTGTTGTAGAGAAAAGCCCAGTCACGAACTTCTGAAAGTATCAAATTGCTCGCTTATTATATGGCGAGAACATGCACCTGATTCTTTGTTGACAACAGCAACAGGTGTTGCATGTTTTGATCTGAATACCATTTCATCTGTTTTCCTGCCAGGTTTCCCTGATTTTCCAGGGAGTGCTCCCCCCATTTAGTGATGGAGGTACTGCAATGCGATGGCTGTGACTTCCGTGCCGACTCCTATGACGACTTGAAGAGCCACATTCAGGAAGTACACACAGCTTTCCTGCAGCCCGCCGACGCAGATGATTCGGACTCACTAAAAGACGAGGAGGAGGAAGACGAAGAAGACGACGACGACAGCGACGACGTCAAGCAGGCGGAAGAGGCAACAGGAGCGCAGGAAACCGGAGACAAGGATGACAAGAGTTGCGCACCTCCTGAAGCTGGAATGAGTAAGCCTCCCACATAAATTAAGATGTTACAGTTCATTTACCCTGTGTTTAAACGTGCAGTTCTGCATGAGTTGAGTAAAACAAAATAATTACTGGCTACCTCCTGGGACAACTCATTGTTCTTAAATTCAATGGTAAATATACCAAAATTTGGCAATCCATTTAAGAAGTCAAATGTGCTATATTAGGTGTAAAATGCAAGATATTAACAGTATTGATGTCTGCTGTTGCCATTTCAGTGCTGCATGATGAGCGATAATGTGACACATAGCATTATTGATACATTTAAACACACAGACACAGAATAAAATTGTTGACTGTTAACTTTCAATTCGTATGCTGGAACTGCCCTAATTCCTTATCTGCAGGAACTGGATACTCACTAGGATATCATTCGGGATCAGAAAAAGAAAAAAAAAACTAATTCAGCCTCACAGAGCAGATGTCTAACGCACTTCCTAATCTTTTTTACAGGTCCCAACTCTGCCAACAGCTCCAGCAACCCATCCCCAAAGCAAAGCGCTGACACCCATTTGCTGTTTTACCAGTGCAAATTCTGCATCCGTTACTTCCGATCCAAGTCGTTCCTGAGGAACCACACCAAGAAGGTGCACGATGTTGTCGAGGAGGACGTGGTCGCACAGATCTCCTCGCAGACAGACAATTCCAAGGTGTATTTATGCCAGTATTGCACCTACAAGACTCCACGCAAAGCAAGGATGATAAAACACCACATGATGTATCATAGGCAAGTTCCCTCGGGGGTCTCCGAGGTAGCCCCAGAAAGTGCTGAAGCTGACGAGGAGTCGTGCTCATCCAGTGGCCTCACGAGAGGGACGTTAGCCTGCGAATGGTGCGACTATCAGACTGACGAGAAGGCAAGCTGGACTGATCACGTCGTCAAGGAACACAGCGACAAGGTCAATATAGTGTCCAGCATTCCCAAACCGGAAGGCGATGCATGTGCGAGCTCACCTAAACCAGCTTCCCAGTCCCAAAGCCCAACTAGATCAAAGACACCTTTAACCGAAGGATATGAGGAATCAATGGGAGAAATGCTTGAAAACGCGTCGGCGCAGATTGCTCCAGTCACACCTGTCAGTGCGGAATGCTCCGTTTCGTCCAAGAGGCCCAACAGTGGCAGTGAGATTGACTCCAACTTATTAAATGAAGAAGACTCAAGCAGCAGCTTGGAGGGTGAAGATGAAGAGCTAGGTGATATAGACGATCCCAATTACACTGGAACGCTGTCAGCAGACGCGAAGCAGCTCTTATCAGACGAGGACAATAAACTGCTGGAGACAAAGGGAATACCGTTCAGGAAGTACCAGAACCGTTTCCAGTGTCCCTTTTGCTCCTTCCTCACCATGCACAGGCGTAGCATCTCGCGCCACATTGAAAACATTCACCTCTCTGGTAAAACCACAGTGTATAAATGTGATGAATGCCCGTTTATATGCACCAGTCCTCTGAAATTAGGCACGCACAAACAGAGCCACAGTTCCTCCGACGGGGAGACCATGGACCTCACAAGTGACAGCCCAGAATCTCACAATGACAGCGTGACGGAGCCCATCAACGGTGGCAGTATGACCAAGATGAATGGAAAAAAGTCAACCGGCGTGTTGAATGACCAGCAGAATCCACACCGCTGCACACTCTGCAACTACTCCACCACCACTCTGAAAGGATTGAGGGTTCACCAGCAGCACAAGCACTCCTACTGTGATGACATGGATCCCACGGTCTTTGAAAGTCAGTTGGCCGACCAGCTGGACACAGATGCCGCAGCCTCGCCAACTTGTCTACAAAAAACCCAGACCTCCATCTTAGGGCTAGCCACCAAAAAGCCCTTAGTTGGTGGTAAACGCGCGAGGAAGTCCATTAACGACTTGCCTTTGGATTTGTCCTCGGTCAAAAAAAGAACGAGAATTGATGAAATTGCGAGCAACCTTCAAAGCAAAATAAGCCAAAGCCAGCAGGACCTGATCATAAATCTAGATGACATGGATGACGAGGACACGGCCGACCAAAACAGCAACGTGGGGCGAAACCATGACGGCAAAAATGCCGTCTTTGCGTACAACATACTGCAGCCTCACTCGAGGGATTCATCTCACAAGGGAGGCAGGATAGGGAAAAGAAAAAGCAACCCTAAATCAAAAGCCCGGAGCCTTGCGCTGTCCCTGACTCTTTCTGACGACAGTGAAAACATTTCAGGCGATCTGACTGATAGTCGAGATGCTACCCAAGAGAACAACGACTACTCCGGGGATCCTGGAATGGCGCGTTTCTACTGTAAACACTGTGATTACCATAACAAGTCTGCTCGTAGCGTCAGCACCCATTACCAGAGGATGCACCCTTACATCAAATTCAGTTTTAAGTACATCCTGGACCCTGAGGACCAGAGCGCCGTCTTTCGCTGCTTGGAGTGCTACATTGAGTACACAAACTACAATGACCTACACCAACACTACATGGATCACCACCCGGAAGCCAGCAACGTGCTCAACTTTAATCAGCCCAATTTGGTGTACATGTGTCGCTTCTGTTCATACACGAGCCCCAATGTGCGAAGCCTAATGCCACACTACCAAAGAATGCATCCCACGGTGAAGATCAACAATGCAATGATCTTCTCCAGTTATGTTGTGGAGCAATCGCACAAGTCTGGCGAATCACAAACTCTGAGGGAGATATTAAACTCCGGCCCCAAAACATTTAACTCGGCCTCGTCCACTCAGAGGTCATCCTCAAGCCCGCTGCTTAAAACTGCGTCGAAGACCCCTGAATCAGGCACAGACACGGATCCCCTCAAGGACGCCATGGCCGGAAGTGTCGTCGTATATGATTGTGACGTGTGTTCTTTTTCCAGCCCCAACATGCACTCTGTTTTGGTCCACTATCAAAAGAAACACCCTGAGCAAAAGGCGTCATATTTCCGCATACAGAAATCCATGAAGGTTGTGGATCAGCCCGTCGCCAACGCCTCGTTCAACTTAAACACATCAACTACCCCCAAAAAATCAACTGCGGCACTGTATGGATCAGACGAGGACATGTTCTACTGTAAACACTGCGTATACAGCAACAAATCTGTGGTGGGTGTGTTGGTGCATTATCAAAAGAGACACCCCGAAGTCAAGGTGACAGCCAAATATATCAAACATGGCGCCCCCACCCCAGGCTTGCTCAAACTAATTGACGAATTACAAATTGCAGCGCCGAAGCAGTTCATGACACAGTTCCCAAACAATGGTCACGATGGTTCCAACAACTCAAGCCCTAAACCAGGAAGTGGAGAAAAGTGTGAGGATGAGCTTTTCTTCTGTCAGCACTGTGATTACGGCAACCGGACTGTCAAAGGAGTGCTCATTCATTACCAGAAGAAGCACAGGGAAACGAAAGCTAATGCCGACCTCGTGCGTCGTCATACTGCCATCGTCAGGAGCCAGCGTGAGCGTGCGCAGTCGAGCAGCGTCTCTTCCGCCACCGCCACGGCACCTCCGGACCCCGAAGACACTGCACCCCTACGTTCCTTGAAGTGCCGACACTGTCCTTACACATCCCCTTATGTCTACGCCCTCAAGAAGCATCTCAAGAAGGACCACCCAACCGTGAAGGCCACAGCCTTGACCATTTTACACTGGGCTTACCAAGACAGCATTCTGGAGGCTGGCTATCACTGTGAGTGGTGCATTTACTCCCACACCGAACCCCAAGGGCTGCTTCTCCATTACCAAAGACGCCACCCGGAGCATAATGTGGACTACGCCTACATGGCCAGTAAGCTGTGGGCTGGACCAGAGAGCACTCAACAAGGGGGGAGCCCAGAAACAAAACATTACAAATGTCGGGACTGCGCCTTTGAGGCGTGTACAGTATATGACATCACTAGTCACTATCAGGCAGTTCACCCCTGGGCGATCCAAGGGGACGAATCTGTGATTTTGGATATTATTAAAGGAAAATCTTCGGTCGACAAGATTTCGAAAGAACACGCGTCTTTCGATTGCCAATCCGTCGAGGATGAGGGCGTTCTCTACATCGCCACACCACCTCGAGAGAGCAACCCACAGCCCGCTCACCCACGTCTATCTATTTCGAATAACCCCTATCAGTGCACTGTGTGTCTGTCCGAGTACAACAGTCTCCACGGCCTCCTCACCCACTATGGCAAGAAGCACCCCGGTATGAAAGTCAAAGCGGCAGATTTTGCGCAGGAGGCAGACATCAACCCTAGCTCTGTGTACAAGTGTCGCCACTGTCCTTACGTGAACTCCCGCATCCACGGTGTCCTCACCCACTACCAGAAAAGACACCCGTTGGTGAAAGTCACAGCGGAGGACTTTGCAAACGACATCGAGCAGATCTCCGACCCAAATGAGGCAGAAGACAAGAACAAGACTCAGAGGCAGGGCTACGGGGCGTACCGGTGTAAAATGTGCTCGTACACGCACGGGACACTGGAGAAACTCAAAATCCACTATGAGAAGTACCACAATCAGTCGGCCACTGAGATTTTCACTCCCGGTTTGACAAATTTCTCAGTCAGCCAACACACCGAGCCAGTTGCGGAATGCAGCGCCAGTCATACATCAAACGCAGGGAAAGTCCAGGAGGTCGCCGATGTGGACTTCACCCTCTCGCAGTTACCCATCAATAAGCCCGAGAAGCATGCCGTGTTCAAATGTCAGCTTTGCAAATACTTCTGCTCCACCCGCAAAGGCATCGCTCGCCACTACCGTATCAAGCACAACAATGTCCGTGCTCAGCCTGAGGGTAAAAACAACGTCTTCAAATGTGCGCTGTGTTCGTACACCAACCCCATTCGAAAGGGCCTGGCAGCCCACTACCAGAAGCGGCATGATATCGACGCCTACTATACCCACTGTCTGGCCGCTTCCAAGACAATGACTGAGAAACCCAACAAAGTAATATTACCGCCCCCTTCCGAGCAGGAGAATTCTGAGATGAGCGAAGAAGTCCGCTTGGCCGTCGAGAGGCGAAAGTGTTCTCTTTGTCCCTTCCAGGCGTTCAGCAGGAAGAGCATTGTGTCGCACTATATTAAACGGCATCCAGGTGTCTTCCCCAAGAAGCAGCACGCCAGTAAGCTCAGTCGTTACTTTACTGTCATCTATGCCAAAGAACCCGAGAAACCCGAGGACAGTCCTATGGAAGTGGAGGACCAGGAGGCGTTGAAGGATGCCCCCGATTCGGAGCAGGACGGCGACTGGCTGCCATTTAAGTGTCTCAAATGTTTCCGGTTGTCCTTCAGAACTGGCCTGCTGCTGTCTATGCACTACAATGACCACCACAGGGCGGACTTCAAGAGAGACTTTGCTGTCTCACCGGACCCTGATGATGACGCTGACACCCCTGAATCCTTCCAGTGCTCCCATTGCGAGCTGAAGTTCTTTTCCCTCCCCGCGCTCGCAACGCATCTGCTCAATCACAACGATGAATTTCAGAAGCGGGCCACGAGGCACGAGAGAAGGCGTCAGCTTCTCAGCAAACACAAAGCAGCAGCCATACCAGACAGCAAGTCTGAGAAGGTGAGAAATGATGAGTTGCGAAAAGGAAATGTTAATCTAATGCAATGATGTCATGGTAATGTTTTAAAACTATTAGGAATTGCACCATCAAATTGCTCTATGCATATAATTGAGATAGACAGATACCGTTTATTAGTAGTCAAATAGACCAACAATCTAACTGGTATTTGAGGTGAATTTTCATTTTCAGTAATAGGGATGGATATATTGGCATCAAAATTAAATACAAAAAGTCAAACTCCTAAGTACACGTTTTTGAACAACTAAGGTTTCAAAATTCTTTCTTTTAATCTCCAGACATCTTTCTTTTAAAATTCTTACAAAAATTTTATGGAGCTCCCAGGATCAACATTACATTTTAAAAGTTTCGTGAAAGTTTAAATGGCTCCCTATTGTGTTCTGCAGTACATACTTTTTCAGAATTTCAATGTAACTTTCACTTATCTTTGTATTAATTTTGAACAAAAACAAAAGGTTGAACAAATTACCGGGATCATTAGCATCTCTTATAGACAATATAAGTTAACAGTTTTTAAATTGATATCATATTGGTCATCAATTTTTAAAAAGCCGAAGCTGATATTCATCAAAATGCCGAATATCTGTGCGGTAATAGAATAATTGGGGAATATTTTATAATTAGTTTGATAGTCCACAAATTGTTTCTTGGCAACAGCATCACAGAGCATACCTATCTCTTGGGCGTGTTTGTAATTATCTGTCATAAGTGTTCGGCTATCGCTCACATTAACGGTCTCATTTCCTAAATTCTATACACAAAGCAGTCAACATGCCTTGAAATGACTTGCAGGAGTTAATTAATTTTTTCCTTCACTGTAAGTAGGAGTATAGCACATAATGGGATTTGGAAATTAATTCATAAATGATTTCAGAAGAATTCCTATGAATGTCCCTTGACGCATACAGTACTTGACAATAACTGGCAGGTTCAGAAAAGTTACACTAGCCTCAAATACCCACAGTGATGACTTTTCAACATATAGTCGTTTAAAAACAAAAGATACAAATTTGTATTGTTTTTGTGAAGTTGCCAAATAAAACATATGACACCTGTTTTTTGGGGGGGAATGGGTCATTGACAGGAAAGCTCTGCAAACAAAGCTCCGATAGGCTTCAGTTGCAACTTTTGCGTTGAGGTGCACACGACCATCCGAGCCATCTGCAATCACCTGAGGAAGCATGTCCAGTACGGAGAGGTCAAAGAGGGGCACGTCAAGGTAATTGTAGTTATTTGAAGCATGTTTTCCCCGTGACTCTTTCCATGTTTGTCACAAGATCCATCGATTGACACAAGTCTCCGCCCTCAAACCACATACCTGTCATACGCAAGACTGATTTGTGAGCCATAGCATGTGCAAAGAACAATAGTGTGAAGTTTTAAGCCAAGTGTTATCTGGTAACTAAACTGTGGTTGCAAACTCTCATTGTCGTTTTTACTGTGGCTTATGACTGAGGAGACAAATTACTGAATACGAGCACGCAGCACAAGAGGCCGTTCCTGTTTCGAGCAAAAGCGCTTCCTGATTGGCTGTCGTTCTGAGCTTAACTCGGAGTGGTCCACACCAACAAGGATTTAAACTTAGCAAACATGATGACTACGGCATGTGGAACAAATGCCATGCACTTCCTCTGTCCCTTGAGGGACTACTCGAAATCATTCATGATGACATTTTGCGTGTTGATTTCTATTAGGGCACCACTGCATGGCACACCAGATGGCAGTAAATTTTACACACTGTACCTTTAATTCAGGATGAGGCCGCATGTCAAGACCTGTAATCTGTTGGGGTATTGTTGACTATGCAGGTGCTTTCAGAAAAAAAATGTCTCCTGCTTTTTAAATTTCTTCAAGGGTCAGTACTTGGATAGATCCTCGAAGTGGCACACTACAAATAAAATTAGCTACAGATGATGTGCAGCCATCCATGCCACCATTTTGTCCTCATTGGTGTCTGGGACTGGTCACTTGCCAGTCACTGGGGACATATGGGCCAACAACCATTCACACTCCCATTCAGATCGGTGGACAATATGGAGATGTCGTACATTTCTGTGCTGGTGTTCCATTAAAAAAAGCAGGAAAAAACTTGGCAATGCTCACTCAGCAGAGTTTGATGAGCTCGCTCAATGTCTTGAAAGATTTCCACGTGAATTTAGGTCATTTTTCCAGAAAAATTATGTAAGCATTTTACTGTTGCCTCCGTTGTTTTTTTTAATGTGGTTTTCTGGATTTGGTGCGACTGTCATTTTAAAACTTGACAACAGTCTTTCTGAGTTCACCACCACAGCATGCTTATCGGCTCCCTGTTTTCTCTTGAGGCTTGCATCTTGCTCTTCCCCATTCGCTTTCGCTCACGACAGAGGCGTCTGCCAGCTTCCCCCTTGAGACAGCACAAGGAAGGGAGGGGAGGGAGAGGAGAGGAGAACGGAGAGAGCTTGCGCTATTACTTATAGGATAGCGGCGGGTATCCGTTGGAGCATTAGTATTCTGGAGAGAATGGGAATGAGCCTGAGGATAGAAGGCCTTAACCAAATGGAGGACATTAATGGACTTGATACTAGTCTTGATACTAGTCAAACAGCACATTGCACCATCGCTGCAGTTTCATTCATGCGTTTTACATAACCTTTCTCCTTCTCAGGTGGTGCTTTTTACAGACGCTAAGGAGAGGTTCACTCTGGAGATGCCACATCGTATTTTATGGCTGCATGAAGTGCAGGGTCAGGGTTTTCCACAAGCATGGCTGAACCTCCTTGAGGCTGTGAAAAAAAAAGTCATGGTGATTGTCTGCCGACTTGGGACAGCCGCAGAAAGCTTCTGCAGATGATGAGGAGGGATGATGGATAGAGAAAGAAAAACACACCATCTTGCCGATAGGCTGAAACGAAAATAAGTTTGGCGCACAACACAAGAATAAGGATTATTTGACCAAGTGGTTTCAGATGTAGTATCCACAAAAGTGTCACCCGTTTTTGATACCTGCTTCCGATTGCGGGTCATGCGGGCCAAGTCCCTCGAAGGAGTTTGTCAAAGTACAAGCCGTGAAATGTGTAAGCACATATTGTCAAAACCCAACTGTGATCGTATTGAGCTTGAACTCTGACCCTGAATAGGATGAGCGGTCCAAAAGTTATGAATGGTTGCCCAAGATGAGGTCTTGGTCTGTTTAGAGAGGCGACTGGGTTGAAATCCAAACCAGAGTCCTGATGTTGAGGGTCACCAGCCTGAGTGTTTTGTTTGTTTCTTTTTAATCATGCGAGTGAGCAAATAGAATTTTTCATACACCAAAAAATAAACTTGAGTTGAATCTTTTTCAGCAGGAAATCAGTGAGGTGGCCCTCACTGTGCCCTCGCAGAGACTCGTTAACGGCAATTTGGAGGAAGATGAAACGGGAAACCTCGAGAGACCCGAGGACGGCGTGAAGGGCCTCGCCTCGCTCCCCGCGGCTTCTTCCGCCGTTGCTATAGAAACACTGGAACCAGACCTGGATGCCATCGAAGGGAGGTCCTCGACGCTGAAGCAACGGCTGGCGACGGGGGGCCACCCGTGCGCCCAGTGCGACCGGGTCTTTATGTCCATGCAGGGCCTCCGTTCCCACGAGAGGAGCCACTCTGCCATGGCCATGATCATCAGGGAGGACAAGTACAGCTGCCAGTACTGCCAGTTTGTCTCACCCTTCAGACACAAGTGAGTGCAAGTAGCATCAGTAAAAGCAAATCAAAGTGGATATAATTGATGACCTTTTTTTATTTTTAAAATCCAAGTTTTGTGTTTATGTGCCCAATTATTTTTCTACAAACTACTTTTACAATACATAATATACAAAAAGATGTATTTTTGTAATTATCTTCATGGTTCAAATCAGTTTTATTTAAATTTATAACATTTTTAGGCCTGCAAATATCAATGAATAAATGAGTCATCTGCCGATTATTTATTTACTTTTTGATGAATTCATGTATCGGATACAAAACCTGATCTAAGGTCAATCTGTTCATTTAAATGATTTATTTAAACATTTACTTTTTTCATTCAAAAAAAACTCCAATAAATCCATTTTGTTTTAATTTTTTAAATAACTGCCGTGTATTTTTAAATTTAAATTAATCCTTTAAAAGTTCATCTGGTTTGATTTTTATTTACACATTCTTATAAATTAGACTGAGCAAGAACTCTCCGAGATCTGGGAATGGAGGGATTATCATTTTAACATGGCTAAAAGCTCAAAAAAAAAAACTGATTTAATATTTATGAATTAAGGGCAACAAGTGGATGTCAAAAGGCATTTGTGATTACAATTTGCTGTTAACTAGTGTTAACTTTTTCTTTTTAAATCCCTCCCTTTTGAGTGTTTATGCTGCCACGTTTATTTTTGCACAGGGAATACTTACACTTAAATCTGTTTATTTCCCCATTAAAAAAAAAAA